AGCACTCATAACGGTAAGATATCTATTATAAAAATAGGACATGGCTTCTGTTACTAACCGGCTGTTATCGCAAACAAGTCATCCTTTTCCTTTTGACTAAATTTCATTATGTCGAACGCTTCCTGAAAGAAAATTTTGTGAGAAATGATAGTAAGATATACGTGAAACAACTGACAATTTTTGCCATTTTTTCCTTTTGTAATTATTTGAGTCCTTTTCTTTTGAACTTTATTTTCTGGTTAATTCTTTTTTAACTGCAGGACACGGTGTGAAGTATAGCTGCTTAAGTATTTTTCCCCTATCTCAATCCATATTTCAATGCTTTCGAAGCAGAGCCTTTCCTGCTTATTTCAGACTTTCAGCAGTTATTCAACAAGTCAAATTTTGACAATTCCAATTGTTTGTTTCTTGATAAAGTCTCTTCATTGCGTTGTAGCAGCGAAAAAATAATTGAGTTTCACTCACAACCTTGTTTTGGCCCTCTTTTCACTGAACGGAACTCCTCTCCTGCACCTTTGGTAATCAATGATTGAAGCGACTTTGAAAGTGTGCCTGGTTTCCGAAAAAAAATTGAAAATGCGCTGTAGCAGCCAAAAAAGATTACATTTCACCTTTGACGCACGTTATCGTGCGCCTCGCGAATCGCATTACGTTTAGCAATCTCACGCTTTGAAAGGGCACGATGTTCGTCATATATTTAGGGGAATTTCCTCCGTCTCGCTGAAGTTTTTGACCTTATATTGAAAATACAGAAGTAACTTTGTCTAGTCGTGATACGAGCTTAGACTTTTATTTCCTTATTATATTGTCGAACAGACAGACTGGCTGTGAAGCCCAAGGCTAAGGGAGTGCAAAACGTGATCTTCTTTTTGCCCATTCACCGCTTGTTTCTAATATTGCAAAATCTCATTCATACAGCCATCTACAGACCCTAGCCGAGATGAAAATGCGCGCCAAGTGTGAAACTCAATTTTATTTCCGCTACTGCAGCACATTAATAAGTCTTTTTGGAGACCAAACATGGTATCGAAATCGCCACGTTTTGAGCTATCGATGAAATACTGAAAATTCTAGAAAAAAATGGAAAATTCTCTGTTCTCGAAAGGTTGAAAAATGGATCTAGATAACGAGAAAGTATCCGGCTTGTTTGATTTCATGGCGAATTGTGTTCCATAGGCCAATCTCGTTTACGGTTGAGTGCTAACAACCACCGAAACCCTCAGAAAGGTACTTGTATGTACCTGAAAATTCAAGTTTAGCTCTTATCTTGCAACTACTTTTGTGCTTTTTTCCAAAGAACAGAAAGTTTTAGCTATTTGTTCTAATCGAAAGCTGTATGCAGTGATTTCTGCATTTAAGACCAAAGCACGATGAAAAAAAAAAGTTGGAAATTAATTGCTAAGCATTTCTCCGAGGACTGTACCAAATGATTGAAAAACCACCAAATAGCGAAGTTTCTCCTATAGAACGAAGGATGCAATTTCGTTACTGGAAAGAGTTTTTTGCACGGATCTTTTTTTCTGGACGAAGAATTCCATTGGATGGCATTCATTCGAAAACCCAAATCATTGTAAATCCATAACAATACTTGTTTTTTAAGAAGGCCTTTTTATAGCACTGTAGCATTCAAAATAAAGATATGTTTTACACCCGCTGGGCACTTTCATTTTGATCACGCTTGTAATTCGCTGGAAGCACAAAAAGCATATGCGCGTGTAGCGAAAATCTTTGAAATTTAGAGTCACACGTTTTCTTTGGAGTTTTTTTTTCCAAAGCGGGGAAAAATCCCAAATTCAATAACGAAAGTCGCGCTGCACATGTGAGTCCCTTCAGCGTCATCGACGCACGGTTACTAAAGCGGCCGACAAGCAAATGCGCGGCGTATTTGACTCTATCTTATTTTCCCTGTCGCACGAGAGAAATTGCCTTTTCACTAAATAAACGCAGCACTAGAATCATTATAAAGGTTTGTCGAATAAGCTTTGTCCTGTGAAAAATGCGCCTGAGTGATACACAGTCTCCATTTTTTCCGCTACAGCGCCTTAAATTGATCTTTGATAGAAACAATAGACTTTAGAAATAACTAAAGTGCACACTAACTAATGGTTAATGATTGTTTGGTGAAAGAGCTCTACTAAGCGAAACACAAACGCGACGGCGCGCGTCACATGTGGAACGCAATGTTTCATTGTCACATGTTTTATTTTATCACTACAGCAATCTGAGAAGGCCATTTTAAAGAATGCTTAATTGGATTAACAATGATATAAACTTTTGAATAGTATAAGAAGAAATTTTTTTCAGCGCAAAATATCCTTTCAAAAAACTCTCTTTGATGACAGAATCATGCCGAATAAAAATACAGTTTTTACTAAATCCCATCACATCTCGAAAATTTTGTTGCATGTATCAGAATTTGATACATGGAATTATTAACTCTGCCATCAATTCGTTATCACTATTACCATTTCAAAATTCGCTTTGATTGTTCATGAAGTTGCTTATAAATAATAAGACAAACATCAGTGATTAACATTTCCTCTTTGTCATCCACTCCGTCAATAGTCGTTTCAGCTTGTGCAACGAAATGATAATCCTTAATGGGTCGGTCCAACATCAGTTTCTCTGGAATCATTAATTTTTTGGTGGAATATCCTCACACACTCTCAATAGTCTAGCTTGCGCTGATGCTTTTTTTTTTGGTTTTTCTCAGTGGATCTTCAAACTTGATAATTTAAAAAGCCTTTGACTTTAATCGATTGAAAGAACGTCACATAAAAATTGATTTTAACTGATAAAGATAAGATGACACCAAGCTAATCTATTCACAACCGGTATACATCAGCAGAATATTGCCTTATAGGTCTTAGTAATAGACTGCACTGGAATCAGCACGTATTGTCACAAATCTCTTAGGTGAATCGGGACATATCTTTATAGTCAGAATAAAGGACAATCAGTCAACAAAATACTGTCATACCTTTTAGTCCTTTAACAGCACCTGAATAAATTTGATAGAAGATGTGATAACATCGTTCGCCAGGTGCTTGTTTGATTACTCTCGACTTTTCCAGCAAATCGTAAAAATGTTTTTTTATTGTGATGAAAGCAATTTTTGAAGAATATCTAGATAGAGTTCTGAATCTTTCATCAACTTACAATGCTCAATATCACCTCCAGCAACTTTTCCAGCTTTGTTGAAGTGGATGCGGATGAATTTCCCAAAGCGCGACGAGTTATTGTTTCGTACTGTCTTAGCATTGCCTAGAACTCGTCACATAAATAATTCCTCAAATCTATTTACCAAAACTTCGTCTATTCAAAAGATTGATGCAGAATTGAAAGTATCGATTTTTCAAGTTAAGAATGTCTCGCGAGAAAATACACTACCACATGAAGACAATACCGCTGGCCTTTTCACTGGTGTGTATGCCATAACATACCACGTCGTGTTTTTCTTGTCAAACGCCAAATGAGTATGAGCAAGCGTTATATTTTGCATCAGCAATTTTTAGCAATTTGGGGAGAGGAAGATGGTAAATATGTTTGTGCTCTGTACTGTGTAGTGTGATTATCATTCACACAACCATTTTTTGTTGGTATAGTTAATCTTAGTTCGTGGTTTCTTCATTACCGTTACCTCTATGCACTCCACATGCCATGAAAACTGGTCGTATCAACATCAAATGGAATGGCAGTGGAATGCTCGTCGTCAATTGAACATTCTGAATTTTCGTCTGTTATCACAATTTGGTGTACGGATCTCAACACTTCTTGCATTTCATTCCATTCCGCATATCCCTCCTCCGCAAAGGTTTTCGAATATTCCACGTATTTCTACGGCTGCTTGAGATTATCGTCGTCTTTACGAATGTCGTAGAGTGATTTTACTTTATCAGATAAATTTGGTACTATACCTCAGGTTAACCTTCTAAAGAGTATAAGAATGCAAAAAGTAATCTTCTTCTCGCTTTGCCAGCACGCTATGCTGTTAGAAAATCATCCACAAACCCTAGCCGCCTCCGTGCAGTTTGTTGCAAAATCCCATCCACACGGCCATTCACGCATCCTGGCCGCCAAATACTGAGCACCGAGTGTGAAACACAATTTTGTTTTTGCTAGTGCAACGTGGTGGAAAAATCTTTGAAAAAAAAAAAAAAAACAAGCAGAGTATCGAAATGATCGGATCTGAGCGGTCGAATGACAATAAAAATATAGGGGAGAATGCGAGAAAGGACTTGCTATCAAAGAGTTGAAAAATGGGTTCCGATAGCAGACTCGTACCGAAGGATCTATTGCGGCTACCTACACAAAATCTCAGTTGACGACTCCTTGACGCAAATAGAACCATGAAATTCTTGTTATTTTCCGATTAATCGTTAACCTGTTTTTTTGTTGCATATAAAACGAATGCATGTTTATGTCGTGGTATACGAAGTAAATGCACTATACTCCTGTGGCTGTAGCATAGGTTTCACATATTCTCTTTTCATGTTCGGGTAGATAGACATTACAAACGACAAGTAGTGTATGAGTTTTTTTCCAGCGGTTATCCGGCTAGAATCAATTAGGACGAGCCGTCCATATGTGAAAGAGCATAGAACACACCGTAGTGCTCAACGGGAACTCCTTGAAACACAGTAACTACTTCTTTGCTTCAGATGCATTGAAACAAACGTAGGAAAGGTTCGCAAATCATTCGGAATACGTCACCGTAGCAAATATCTCAATTTTATCCGGAGGCGCATGCTGAACCGTTGCCCTACCGACTCCTGTTTTGACACCACTCTTTTCTACGCTACAACGCTTCTGTCTATCTGTCAGCAGCTATCCATCAACGAACGGTCTGGAGTGGGTAGTCGCTATCGAAATTAAACCCACTTATGCTGACAGATGTTGGGTATTGATGATCACACAGAATTCAGTTTACTTGAGTGCCTCTAGTGGTGGTATAATGTTACAATATACCCAATGATGTAGAATGGTGTGCAAGAACTTTTTGCATCGGTTGGGATTCGAACCCACATCTCACCCTATCCGGGGGCACGCGCTGATCCGTTGCACTACCGACGCCCGTTTTTTTACACACTACTCATTGGGTATATTGTAACATCATGACATCTCTAGAAGCGGTGAAATGAAGTGAATTCTGTTTGATCATTCATACCCAATATCTGTCAGCATAAGTGGGTTTAATGTTGATAGCGACTACCCACGCCAGGCCACGGTTGGCTGCTGACAGATAAACGCGTTGTAGAAAAAGAGTGGTGTCAAAACAGGCGCCGGTAGTGCAACGGTACAGCACGCGCCCCGGATATAGTGGAATTTGGGTTCGATTCCCAACTTACGCAAAAGTTTCTTCAACCACTCTACATCATTGGTAATGTAGCATCATACCACAGCTAGGGGCGGTCAAATAAATTGACTCGGTTATACCAATTTTGCCCGCCCATTTCAGAAATGAGAGAACTGCTTAATGAATTTCGAGTGACAATATAAGCGGTTCTGAAAAGTGACTTTAGCACACGATGAAAAGTTATGAGGGTAGTCTTGAGAATAGTTGGAAATGTGTAGCAGGGTAAATCAGGTCAATGACCTCTAAGAATTCTTTGTTTACTGCTTTCAAGCAGTGTAATCATGTTCTAATTATACATCTGAGAGATAGATGGAACGCGGTGAACGCTCACGCCGAAAGTGGAAAGCGGGTTCAACCCTCGCCTGGGGACGAACGTTATACTGATTACTCGACACTCTCGGATGTATGAACATCGGCAGTTACCTACTTTGTTGATGAGCTGAGCTATTTGTGTTTTTATACTGCTAACTATACATTTATCGCCGAGCAACAGTGTCAAGACAAGCCGAGGACTTTTATGGAGTGTTTTTTTGAGGCGCTGCATCTTGAGATGTGTTAACGCAAACCGAACTCGTCCGCGGGTAAATTTTTCTTAAAAAATTGATTGTGTTTAAATTACTGAGTGTATAGGAGCGCTTGTGGAGCAGTGGTCAGAGGTGCTCTGCGTCGCACACAAGGTCGATGGTTCGATCTCGCGCTCTTGGCTCACCAAGCCATCCATACATCCAAGGTCGGTAAATTAGTACCAGACGGGTCACACCTGTTGGGAGGATAAGCGGCACTGACTCTATACAGCGGGAGGCTACCGCGAATCATTGTAAAGGTCTGATATGCATTCAATCATCTCAAACAATTGAAAATTGAAGTCGAATGCATGGCGCATGCCTCAGGGATTGATCAACGCCACGAGCTTTATCCTTTATATCGTTGACTTACCCCTCTTATTTGAATCTGCTTTCCTACTTATCGGTTATCTTCTACTTCTCCAGTTTATTTGATCTTCATCACATTTTTTCCTGTACTCGTCCCAGTACCTCTAGCATTCAATTCGCCCTCTCGCACTCATCACTTTATTGGGATCTTATGTTATTACCGAACATTGTGGAATAGAGGTCGGGGATATTCTTGCAATCTCGAGGGTAGCCCGGCCATCGTGCTCGTTCATTAGTCGGTTGATGAGTGATGAGAGGAACAGCCCCGCGCCGAGCATTACTCACCACTCGGCCACGCCCGCTCGCACCTATGAGTTAATGACCTAGCAATTGGATATACATGGTAGGGAAGAAAATAAAAACTTCTGGAACCGAGCAAACATTTCACGAACGCTATAGAGGTCGTATGGTAATTTGAATCATGACAGTTGCGAATTGCGGAGAATGCCTATGTTACGTTATGGGATGTAGAACTGTTTCAAAGAGAGAAAAAATCAATTACATACCAATAATAAGAAAACGAATTCTTGTTCGTGTATTCTTTTTGTAACCGTAAGGTTGCTATTGTTGGCAGTTGCTTTACTATGGCACATGTATGATACCATACCATTCGAGTGTTCTTTTGAGACCACGCTCAAAAATTCAATATACCTGATGGTCATTTTTAAGCCAACATTTTATGCGATCTTTTATGGGCAACTTATGGAGCCGGATACACATGTTTAGCCCTTGACAGTCTCTCATCAATCGGGCAGTACCCTTCGCCTTAGCCAATCGTCTTAGAAGCCCTACATCGCCTATAGAAAGTAGGCGACAACAAACGATCAACACGTGCCGTCAAGTGAAATAAAGCAGTAGTTTGGCAGTCTTTCACACTTGATTGCTTTTGGTTGATATCTTTGAAATATCATAGCGTTCGTTTTGAGTGTTCTTTTAATACCGCACTGAAATATAACATATCTAATGACTTTTTATCAGGGTGTCATGGCCACAACATGCGATTCGTGCTCTATAAGTTGACCATAAAAGACCACATGACATGTTGGTCCAAAAGTAATTATGAGATACATGTATAATAGTTTTTAACCGGAAAGCTTCATACCTTTACTGAATTTAAATTATTTGCTTGAATTTGTTAGATCTTCGGAGATCTATATTCATAATTTTGGTTTAAAACATAACACATAGAATATTTTATTACAGTAAAAAATTGAAACTCACCGAATGCTTCAAGAACAGGATTTGTTTGCACAATCTGATCCTCCAGCGACACTTTTGACTTGTCCTTCTTGGCTTTCTTCCTGTTTTGAAAATGTCACTTTTTAGATAAGTCAATTTGATCCCACGTGGGTTATTTTTTGACTTTGAATGCTTTTTTTACAGCGAAAAGGTTTTTCTAGTCCTATTAATGGAAGGGTTAAACATCAGGAGATAACAACTTTAGCTTTCCTCTTGAGCGTACTGTGACTATAAAATAGCACTAACACTTGTGATGCGCCGACCATCGCAAAGTACGAGATCACTTTTTTCGTGTTCTCCGTTTTTCCAGCTCCTGATTCACCGGTGATCAGCATCGATTGGTTCTCTTGATCTACAATGCTTTACATTTATGAAGAAATCAGTGCGCTTCACGCCAGATCAATTTCATCCGGGTAGTTTTTTTTTGAAGTTTTCACCACACCCTGATTTCTATCTCGTAATAACATAGAGCATGTAATTCAGACATTTTGCTAAGTGTATATAAATTGGCAAATCTGTTTTATTTATAGTCCGAAAGAGAATTTCAACAAAAAAGATTTATTCTGGGAAAGAATGCTGCCTTATAGTAAGTAATACCTACCATTTTTCATGTTTCTGTAAGCTTCATCAGCGACCGCAAATAGATGTGGCGGCATTTCGTTACGCCGACGACCGGTGTACATTTGGCACACCGACTCCGAATAAATCGGAAGACGTTTGTATGGATTGATGACGACACAAAAAAGACCGGAGTAAGTCTAGAAGAATAAAGATAGGGTAAAAATACTGAACTGATCACCTTCATATCAAAGTTTGAACTACCGAGAATGATTTTGATTTTTGAAGAAAGGAAGAACGACTATCACCACGACACACTCATTTAACAAAGATGGGAAGGACGTTAGCGCCATTTCTTATTGTTTTTGATTGTCCCATGAATCTACGATCAGCAAATTGAAGTCATAATATGACTACAAGTAGCGTTTGCATGTTGATGATGACTGACTGCGTCTAGATGTTGAAGTGCCCCATGGAGATGAAGAACATCACCGCCTTTTCAGATTTATAAATTTTACTTTATGGTGATTTTTTTTGTGCTACAAATTTAAGACCATCAATTACTCACATAAATCATCATTGAAAAGTAACGTTGACGAAGATTATGAAGCACTGAAGCGTCGTTAAGAAATGTCAGATTTGCCATATCTTCAGTTTTTCGAATTTTGGCGGATTCATTTGCTGTGCCTCATCTTTCTTAATCGTTTTCTAAAAAAAAAGAATTAAAAGAATAAATTCTAAAAACAAATGGAGTGTAGTTTTCCCCTGTAGGCACCCTTATATATAGCGCTGTATAAATTCAAATGGGGTACGCAAAAGGCACTGACTAGTCTATTTTCAAACCTCGTGGTGACCAGAACCCTTTTTTATGAGGTCTGATATCAAATCTTCCTTAGAGCATTAGAAACTATGCTGAATTCTATGATAGCAAGAAATATTCGTAAGAAGTCATAATACTTTTCTTGGATGTGATAGATAATTTTTTCCAAAAGTACGCCAAAGTGTACGATTTCCTGTGCATGAACCAAATTTTTCAGTGGATTGCGTCCTCCGTAGTCTTCTTAGTTCTTCTTGATTTTTAGTAAATGCTAGAAACTGAGCAGTTTTTGGAAACTGATGGGTTTTTAGCTTTTTTGTAAATGGTCAGTTATGCCATGAAATCAATGACAAACCTCAACTCCTTTACTCGTTACGACGACAACGTTGTCACCTTTAGTGGATTTGATTTCGGCGGCTATGAATCCTTCCTCGGCGTCGGCAATCCAAACGTTTTTCTTCGAATCGAACTTCTTCGTCGACGCTGCCATTAGCTACAAAGAAGAAATTACTACAAGAAGTTATAAATGGGTTCTTTTCGTTATCCGAGTACAAATGAAGAAATGATCGTTTTTGTCGAACAACAAGTTTCCATAAGAGTGATAGCAATCACTCGAAGGCAGAAATCTTTAGTTACTACACTACGTGCTTCTTTTTGCTAGAAACCTTTGCAACGTTGTAACGCTCAAAACTAAATTATGCTTCACACCCACCACTTGCTTTTACTATTACTTCGCTGAAAGCACGAAAGCATATCAACATGTAGAAGAAGTCTCGTAGTATTGAAGTCATATGCTAATCTGGCTTTCACTTTGAAGCTGAGAAGAATTATCTAATCAAATGGCAAAAATCGCCCTTCCTTGCGACGCTCCAATATATGTTGATCGTCGATGGCAGGACGCCGCATTGAATATACGGCCATTAGACACGGCGACCGCAGATTAGCCGATAAACAAGCGCGCCGAATATCTGGAACTCAATCTTATTCTCCTTAATGCACTGCAGTGAAACGATCTTTCCAGGAAATAGGCTCAGAGTTGGAGTAGTTGAATTTTGCGCTAACGAATGGTTACTAATACTCTAGATGAAGAGCGTTGTACCGCGAGGAAAACGCGTATGTGAGCCACAAATGATTTCCTTTTGCTGAAGCGTTATAAATGAGTCTTCCGAAA